GTCTTACCTTTGTTATCCTGTCGTAGAACTCCAACATTTTTTTAACGCAGGATTTCCCTTCCTTGAAGCCTTACCGGTTGCCATGTATGAGCCCGTGTACAACCAGACACACCTCTTCTCTCCGCCTCTTGAGGTAGAGTCTTAATGAGAATATATTAAAGAACTCATGCAATATTAATATTTTAAAAATATTGGCCGTTTTTACACCGATTCCTGAAAAATAGATAATACCCGCTTCTATTGATGACGATAATTTGGCACACCCCTAACTTAATGCACAGTAAATATTAAATAACACAGGAAGGTTAAGTATTAAATAACTTAATTTCTCTGAGATGACAATGTTATTACTCATTAATTTACCTACTGTACTAATTACTGTTTGTAAAAGGCAATTGCCTCCACTTTTCAGATTATTCCACTTCCTGACAACTCTATGAGTGAAGAGACACTTCCTAACATCCCTTTAACTCATCTGAGTCTTCAAATTCCAATTGTAACCCCTTGTTGCTGTGTCCTATCTCTGGAAAATCCTGTATCTGTCCATTTGTCGATTCCTCTCAGTATTTTATATGTCGTTCTCATGTCCCCCTATCTCTCCTGTCCTCCAGTGTTGTCAGATCGATTTCCCTTAACTTTTCCTCGTAGGACATGCCCCTTAGCTCCGGGACTAGTCTCGCTGCAAGCCTTTGCACTGTCTCTAATTTCCTGACATGCTTGGCCAGGTGTGGATTCCAAACTGGTGCTGCATTCTTCAATATGGGCCCGACGTACACGGTTTCCAGAGCCCGGAACGATTCCTTACTGAGATGTCGTAATGCTGTTCTTAGGTTTGCTAGGAGTGTATGTGTGTGTATGTGTGTGTGTGTGTGTGTGTGTGTGTGTGTGTGTGTGTGTGTGTGTGTGTGTGTGTGTGTGTGTGTGTGATGTTGTGTGTGTGTGTGTGTGTGTGTGTGTGTTGTGTGTGTGTGTGTGTGTGTGTGTGTGTGTGTGTGTGTGTGTGTGTGAGTAGCTCTCACAATCGTAAGGTAGTATTTATTCTGAAATTTTTAAGCACGTGTAACATTAATATTTTAAAGGTATCGGCCGTTTTCTTCATCGATACCGTAAAAATAGTCGATACCCACCAATACTGATATTTTGGAACATCCCTATTTAAAAATATTAGTAGATTAATGTTACATATGTTTTCACCCATGGTCATGGTTACGGTCTCGGGTATGGTCCTGGTTTCACCGCCGGTTCTACGGATAAAAAAACCACTCCCTCAAAACTGTGAAATGCATTAACCCCTGTTAAAAGTATTAATTCCCATGCATCTTGTACAATGTATCTTTTTCAACCAATAAAATCCTCTTGTGTTAAATGAGATTATAATATCATAGGTCTATTGGTTAAGAAATTCACAAAATATCCAGAATATTTAACATTCATAAGTCTAGCGGATAAGAATTTCACAGAACCTCTTTCTTTCTGACAATATTGGCAGCTACCTTTTAAAAAAAATTAATTATGCAACCACAAACTGTTAATATTTCCATGGAAAAACAATCAACTGTTAGGATGTAATAAAGCATCTGAGGAAAGACGGCTTTTTAGTTCAAATTCCTTGAATTAAGAGCCCTTCACCAGCATCAACAAGGGAATGCAAATCTAGAACTTAACATATTTTATTTTGGCATTATTGATGTATATTATTAGATTATTGTTGTTTATTATTTAATTTCCAGCTATGCCTCTTCGTTTGGGTTCTAACCCTTTATACATTTTTGAGTTTGTAGATACCTTAGGAAAATCTTGCTTGTTGTGAGCGTATTTTCTCTGAGCTCTGGGGAAGGGGCGTTCTGGTATTATGTTCTGGTATTATGTTCTGGTATTATGTTCTGGTATTATGTTCTCGGTTGTATATCAACACTGACTTGATCATAAGCGTTGGATTAACTTAAAATAGAATTTTCCAAACCACACCAATATTTAAAAATGACACCAGAAAACTAAAACACCGATTCCTTTTTTCATATATAACTCATTACACAGTGTTTCTGGACACTGGCACTGTGTTGTCTAAGTAGAATTAACTGCAGGTAAGATATATCTGGCACTGCTTGTTAGTAGAAAACTACATCTAAGCATATCGGACACAAAAGTTTTTTTTTTAACTCTGTTTCCTAGTTATAATAACTAAGACACTAGAACTTTTGTTGATATGATTAGAGAAGAGAAAGACAGATTGGAATATAATTTAAGGTAAATTTACAAGCTGCTCGATTTTTTTATTTTTACCGATATACATGTACTACTTACTTATTGATTAACCAAGAACCAGATATTATATGTCATTGTACATAAAATATAGCCATTATATGAAAGTACCGAGTTATAAGTGATCAAAATTCATCTATTTTTGTTAACAAGATGTGGCACCCGTATTCCATATGATTATTATATAAACTGTATGCCGAAGCTTTATTTTAATTTTTATTTTAGTGATTAAAGTAGCCAGGCTCGCGGGAGAATCACATAAACACTTGTATTCGTAGTCACAGTGGTGGCCCATGCTAGCCTCCCTAATGGTGTGTAAATAAACCTAGTTGGATGAATCTTATTGTAGCCAGCTGGTCCAGTGGCTTACGCACTGGTCTGGAGTTTTACGACTCACTTGCCACCAGTTCAATCCCCTTAAGTATCCTTGGCTAGTGTTGATCAGATGACATGCAGCTTTAACAACCCTTCGAATAATCGCTAGACTTTGAGCTTAGTCAACCAAACATTTGGATTCCACACTCCCGTACATTCACTCTCTTCGAAACTTTACGTATATCTGCAAAAACGAAACTTCAGAAGAATTCTTTTTCATTTACAGAGATGACTAAATATCCTGGCTTCACAGTCGGTCATTCTGCTTTGCAAGCAATGCAAAGACTCCAACATAAAGAATCAACCAAAGGGAATTAGATCTTTAATGAAACTTCCTTGAATGCTTCATGAGGAGGTTCATTAACTTGCAGACGAAATACGTACACCGTGGATAATATTGCTTTAATGAAGCACAATCCAGGAGACAGCAATAAAAGAAGACAGTGTGAGTCACTAAGACTCGATAATTATAATGCCATCCAACTTTTGCCAGCCATTCCTGCTGATTCAACAATAGGATTTAGAAAGAGAACAAAAAGAGACATCACTAAATGCCTTGTTTGAGCCCATTGTCAGCTAGAACACGACCTTCGATTCCTTAATACTCTTAACACATATGACTAATTTAGTTATGGACGGGAGGACATACAAGCGAGTACAAATAGGAAGTGCATCTGTCTCGCGCTCAACAGACGATGAGTCGAGCTTCCATCACGTCTTGCACAGAATGACCCACATGGGCTTAACATGAATTAAACAAAACAAACAGTCATGGACGGGATCAGTCTATTGCACTGAAGAGATTGCTACTATTCTCACTCAGGATTATACTTAGCATTACTTCAAGGTAAATTTAATTATGTATTGCATGTAATTTATTAATCCTATTTCATAATCACATCGAGCACATATGTAGTGTCAAGTTATTCTTCCACAATATTACATTATTTTGCTAAATATTCTGTTAGCAATATTTTTCATTAAAATTATTTAATTTGATGACATAGAGGAACTGTGTCCTCTTTAGACACATAAACAACTTTTCATTATCTTACTTAGTCTATAAACTAGACAATAATTTATCTTTATATATATTCTTCTTCAATAATATTTGTGTAAGTGATATTTTGCCATGTTATTTTTTTTTATTTTTTAATGAAAAAGTATATAATGTCAATTATAACGAATATTTGTTATGGTATTGTCGCTCAAACATTGTATTTCCACTATGATGACTTAGGTAGACCCTTATCCTGAAAGTAGCATATCGATATCTCTCCCATTGAAATCTGGTCTTTGAGCTCTCAGCCTCAACGCAATTCCATTTCTAGCTGCAGTAACTGAAGTGAACTGACGCGGTTATGTCTCTATACAGAGCCTAACAGATGAGCCCCTCACCCAGGAGTCATCTCATTACAATGTAACGCAAGATCTTCTTATTGAATGCCATAAAGAGCAATCGTGTAAGTAGTTCCTAGGAGATCTTTCCATCATCTATAGTGCCGTTGTAGCCTCTTACCACTACAACCCTTATGAACTTCTCAGCAAACATAACAATAAGGTGTTGTTGAAGGTGAAGTTTAGGGCTGTAAAGCAAGAAAACGATATGAGTTAAGATGTCTTATATAAATGCATTCGCTTATGTGACAAATAAATCAATTGAAAGTGACTGCGTTGAGTAGTGTAAAGTAGACTTTTGTTAAAAATAGGTAACAGCTTATGAAATGAATTACGTCAATTATCATTAATATCTAATCAATCTACAACAATTTTTTTCCTCTCCTTGTTGAAATGTATTCGCTAATAATATAATTACAAATAAAGTATATTAAGATAATAATCATAATTATAATAAACAAGTTATTCAGTTACATTGCAAAATGAAAGTTCTCATAGAACAAATACTGAATATAAAACACGAAAAATCAATAAACCTGGTACTCAACAGAAGAATTAGTCGCTACAGTAAGATCAAGGATCATCACAAGGGCAAGACTGGTGGGTGTGGTGTCTTGTGTCCTGTTATGCATGGAGCAAGAAGATTATTTAAATTGTGTATATCTACGTGTATATATGGGTATGTGCATGTGTTTCGGCATGTGAAAATATGTGATTTAGTGTATGCTTGAAAATTTAACAAAAATTATATTATATACAACTGATTCGATAAGAAATCCTATTTTCATAAAATTACTCCATGACTGTAGGAATATTACTGGCCCATTGACCTTGGTAAAATTTTGTCAGTATTATAATACTGACTGCTTCACTTGTCAGGGTCACATGACAATATTCTCAGCTCTTGGATGCCAGAGTATAAAAGGACAGGTAGTGTCCCTACACTCACAAACCTTCCTCAGCAACGAAGCTACACACAGCAGTCATGCAGGTTCTGGTAAGTGCCAGACTTGTAATGGTCAAAGTTGTTTAGCAAACGTTAAATGATTATCTTCTGACAATATTAAAGAAAACAACACGTTGCAGAAAAGGCTTTGATTTAGACAACGTTTCGCTATGCAGAGCTTTATCAATAAAGCTCTTTAAAGAATGAAACGTTCCCCCCCCCCAAAAAAAAATATAAAAGCTTGTCAAGCAATTTTTCTTTGCTTTTCTTGTTTTAAATATATTTCTCACTGCCAATATTTATCAGAATAGCAATTTTTGTGTACATGTTAAAAACGAATTATTATTTTAAAAATATTAAATTTTGTAAACCAACTCCTATTATTTATTTTAATTGTAATTACCGATATATCTCGTATATTAACTACAAAATACGTTTGCGTATTTTGTATTTAACATGAGATATGAAGTCATACGAGATATGAAGTCTACTTTATAGATACTTTTTTTAATTTTTTAAAATATTTGCTTACAAATATTTGCGAAAATGAGACAAATAACTGTAACTTTCACGGAAATATTAGATGGGCAAAATTTTACAAGGATATTAAAATTTTTGTGAAAACATTTAATGAGTGAAAATAAGTGAAGACCTGAATGACCGAAACAAACAATATATGTACACAATGTTTAAGTAATACCGCAATTTTAACTGAAACTAAACTAAACGATTAGAATGCCTGTGTGACGCGAATTTATGTCCGAAGGTTCTGAGGCATCCACGTTAATTGCTGGAGTTATCAGCTAATACAATATATTATTATTATTATAATCAAGGGGGAAGCGCTAAACCCGGAGGATTATACAGCGCCTGGGGGGGGGATGTGGAAGGCATTCAGGCTTAATTCAGAGAACTGGAGCACAGATCCAATTCCCTAAATATAGAAGAAAAACTAATGGTCTCCAAATCACAATAGCTTTCAGCCTTGCTGATGAATAATAACCACAACTCACCACACAATAAAGTAAGATTAGAAATCCGTGAATAATTTTGTAATAGCAGTAGCAGATAGGTTGCTCAGAGTCATGCCAGAAAGCTTCAGAACATTTTTACTAAGCTTGAAAGGAGAACTAGAAATGTTGTGATTCAAACGTTTGCTTTACTACTAATTAAGAATTTGTGATACATTATATTGGTATAAATTTTAAGGTATTTAATAACATAATAATTTCAATGTAAATAAATCAAGGACCCCAATGGAAATGAGTCACTGTGACTTTCTTGGGTTATCTTGGGTAATCTACACACATGTTGCTATGTATGATAACTTATGTAACTGTATTTATGTGTACTTGTACCTCAATGAACTTCAGATATTCATAAAAACTCATTCTTTTTATTTTAAATATTTTTTTTATATGTAATTACGTTTTCTTCTCTTGGTACATTCAATATACATAGTATAAAATTATTAGCAGGTAAATGCAAGAATATTTTTTCACGGGTATATATTTAATAATAAAATGCTTATTGTTATTCAAACAAATGCCTTACTAATGTTATCGAACTATTTATAACTAGATTTTCTTTGTCTTCTCAGATCATTATCCTGCTACTGGGTGTCGCAGCAGCAAAACCTAACCCTGTTGCATATCCTGACCCAAAAGCTGGTTTCGGTGGACTTGGTCTTGGCTACGGTCTTGGAGGGTACGGTCTGGGAGGTCATGGCTATGGCTTGGGAGGCCTTGGTTACGGTCTCGGGGGCATCGGTCGCGGTGGTTATGGCTTCGGCTACGGACCTCGTCTCATAGGCGGCTTCTACGGATAACATCCAGTGTCCTAGAAAAATCTAAAACACTTCAAAGCCTGTTAAAAGAATTCTAATACATTTTATATGGTACATTTTTTTCTTCAACAAAGAAAGTCCTGAAGCTTTGATCTGAGTTTTTAATATCCTGGAAAGAACTTGAAAAAAACACAAAAATTGCAACGTTATTTTCTAATGGCTTATGAAGTCGCAGTCTTTGCCTAGTAGATATATTCATTTGTCACATCATGACCACCGCCTGACATTATATTCAGTGAATCTTCTAAGCTCTACGCAGTCAAACACTGCCTGGGGAATTTGAGGACCCCAGATCTGAGTCAAGGACTCAGTGGTGTTAAAGCCCTGAGACTTCAGCTATTCCGGTATGTAGGTTTCAGCTGTGCCTCATCATTCTGGCAGTACCCATTTAAACTAGTCATATATTATCGTCTCATCCATGCGGTTCGAAAATCGTTCATGTTGTGAGCGTATCTCCTCTGAGTCATTTTTTTTAAATCCAGGATGATTTGAATAGACTGATGCAGTGGTCGGAGAAGTGGCAGATGCAGTTTAATGTAGACAAATGCAAAGTTCTAAATGTTGGACAAGAAAATAGCCATACCACATATAAACTAAATAAAGAGATCTTAATATTACAGATTGCGAAAAGGATTTAGGAGTTCTGGTTAGCAGTAATCTGAAACCAAGACAACAGTGCATTAGTGTTCGCAATAAAGATAACAGAATCCTCAGCTTCATAGCAAGAAGTATAAATAATGGAAGTCCTCAGGTTGTTCTTCAATTCTATATATCTTTGGTAAGGGCTCATTTAGATTATGCTGCACAGTTCTGGTCACCGTATTACAGAATGGACATAAATGCTCTGGACAACGTACAAAATGAGAGTATTATATACCATTTCGTACACAACAACGTACAAAGGAGGATGACAAAGTTGATTCTATGTATCAGAAATCTTCCCTATGAGGATAGATTGAGGGCCCTGAATCTGCACTCTCTAGAAAGGTGTAGAATCAGGGGGATATGACTGAGGTATATAAATGGAAAACAGAAATAAATAAAGGGGCTGTAAATAGTGGTAAAAATATCTAGCCTAGACAGGACTCGCAGCAATGGTTTCAAGTTGGAAAAATTCAGATTCAGGAAGGATATAGGAAAGCACTGGTTTGGTAACAGAGTCATGGATGAGTGGAACAAACTCTCGAGTACCGTCATAGAAGCTAAGACGTTGTGTAGTTTTAAAAATATTTTAGATAAATACATGAGTGGGTGTGGGTGGGTGTGAGTTGGACCTGACTAGCTTGTGCTACTTGGTCGGATGCCTTGCTCCTCCCTTAAGTGACGTGTCTGACCTCACTAGGTCAAGGCATTGGCTTAAGAAGGTGGGTGAATTGGACCTGCCTCGCATAGGCCAGTAGGCCTGTTGCAGTGTTCCTTCTTTCTTATGTTCTTGTGTAAGTGATGCATACAGTCATTACTATTTAACTTTTTTCTTTACCACCAGATATGAACATTTTAATCCCTAATGTAGGCTTAAAGCAATCTCTCAATATATAAATGCTGAGTATATGTCCAAGTTTCGATTCTTTACTACGTATAATGCTCACATATCAATTGTTCAGGACTGTATATCAATATAATTCTTATTATCATAATTATTATTATTAATTAGTATTAATGGAGAAACGCTAAACCCTCCAGGGGTCATACAATGCCTTGGAATTGGAGGTTATCAGGTATGATTCTATGATAGGTATTTAGCTCAAGTTCCATATATTACCAGCCCTTCACTAGGATCGAAGAACCTCCGTTGAAGGGAAGTCGTTGTGTAACCCAAGAATGGTAGACACCTGTCGTGGAAGCGTATTTATGTGCAATGCAGCTTGGGTTTGAAAATATAAACTCTACTACATAATTACACAGTGGACTAAATTTTTCATGGATTAGTGTCCCTTGTAACCAGATTGCTTGGAGAAGAGAAATCGTGCTGTAAGCAATTATATGCTCAGCGCTGTCATACGTAAGCTGATTACAGGGGTGGGGGATGATGTCATAAGTGTGCTTTTGTCAGGATTGCGATTCAACAAATGACGGTGACTGTGTTTCTTCTTTTTTGGATCACCGCACGTGTGAGACGACTGGTGTGTTAAAACAATTATATATATATATATATTTATATATATATATATATATATATATATACTCAAGGTAGTAGGTTGGTAGACAGCAACCGCCCAGGGAGGTACTACCGTCCTGCCAAGTGAGTGTAAAACGAAAGCCTGTAATTGTTTTACATGATGGGAGGATTGCTGGTGTCCTTTTTCTGTCTCATGAACATGCAAGATTTCAGGTACGTCTTGCTACTTCTACTTACACTTAGGTCACACTACACATACATGTACAAGCACATATATCACACCCCTCTGGTTTTCTTCTATTTTCTTTCTAGTTCTTATTCTTGTTTATTTCCTCTTATCTCCATGGGGAAGTGGAACAGAATTCTTCCTCCGTAAGCCATGCGTGTTGTAAGAGGCAACTAAAATGCCGGGAGCAAGGGGCTAGTAACCTCTTCTTTCCTGTATATATTACTAATGTAAAAGGAGAAACTTCGTTTTTCCTTTTGGGCCACCCCGCCTCGGTGGGATACGGCCGTGGTGTTTGAAAGTGTTGAATATATATATATATATATATATATATATATTTATATATATATATATATTATATATATTATATATATATATATGGAGAACTTGCCCATCATTATATGTTTGTTGATAAATTAGACACATGTGCAACTCTTGGGTATCTTTATTAAGGAAACGTTTCGCCACACAGTGGCTTCATCAGTCCATACACAGGAGAAGCTTGCCTAACCCTTGGGCACGACCTACTTCCACACTGGGCAAATGTGACGCCACCTGCGACTGCTGCACCTCTCCTGCCTACGGTTTATAAGCTGCTTCTCCGCTCATATGCCGTATTCTATTCAAGATTGATGGACTGACCATATCGACTCATGGGCCTACTGGCCCATGCGAGGCAGGTCCAGTTCTCCCACTGGCTTAACCCAATATTTCATTCTCCTCCTGTTCTTCAAGTTTCTCCTGTGTATTGACTGATGAAGCCACTGTGTGGCGAAACGTTTCCTTAATAAAGATACCCAAGAGTTGCACATGTGTCTAATTTATCAACGTGTCGGTTCTGTGAGCCATTCATCTACATTATATGTTTGTTCCCATAGGCTCAGAGACCCTTGGCTCATGGAGAAAGAGTGCATCTAAGTTCCTTAAGGAGCTAGGCAAAATACTCATCAGGGCAACTAGGGATCCCAGGGCAGCTAGTTTTCTGTTCCAGCGACTCAGCGCTGCTGTTCAGAGGGGTAATGCCTGCTGTATTTTGGGTATGCGCCCCAGTTTTGAAGAGCTGGATGAGATTTTCGCATTATAATCAGTGACAAACATGCAACAATATGTACTAGACATTTATCTCTCACATCTCATGTACTGTATATGCCATCTTTATATCAACAATATATCTCTTAAACCTTTTTGTACCATATTATGTAATAAAATATACCTATTGGTAAAAAAGAGTGAAAAGATGGGGTGGTAGGGGAAGTGGAATATTCAAACGGCTTCAGGAAGAAATACAAATATTCTTCCCTGAAGCCTTTTTATCCACGTCTCCGAGGCTATGGGTCCCAAACTTTACAACACCAGTCGTCTCACACTTAGGGTGATCCAAAAAAGCATTTGTAATGAAATCAAGATGACCCGCCCTTCCAGCACGTTGAGTTGCAGGATCTTCTTCAAAACTTGTCTTAACTATAGACAAGATCAATTTCCACTAGTAATTTTGTACGCTGGTGACTCCGCCTACCACTGCTCTGCCTAATCTGTCAGCAGTATATAAGTATATAAGTATATATATAAGTATATATGCCGCATTTTTGTCAAGATTGACGGACTGAACACATGGACTCTAGACTGAGGGACTGATTACCTCAAACTCCTCCTGCTCATCTTCCACCTTTCTTTGTATTGGATTGAAGAAGTCACTGCGTGCAAAACGTTTACAGGATAAATACCCAAATGTTGCACAACTGTCTTATTCATCAACTTATCGGTTTTGTAAACCATTTATTCACATAGTGAGTCAGTATGCTGAGCGTGGGAGTGTGGTGAAGATTTTGCAAGGTCACATATCCAGTATATTTTAACAGTGACATGCCAGACATAGCTTATATTCCTCACAAATTCTTTTATTTATAAATGAATCTTATTCATATAATCCTGAACTAATATTCATATTAAAATCAATGATTCGAATATATTTCTCTCAACAATGTACTTGTCTTATACAATCTTCTCGATCTTTTGAGAATCAATTGGGTGCTTAAAATCCTTCACACATGAATGGGCTCTTGTTTAGCTCTAATGCAATATTTATGTTGATGTAATCTTAGTTCAAGGCTTTCTCCTGTTTGACCGAAATAATTTTTTTTTTCATTTATTGCATAGAATCTTATAGACACATAAGAATATAAGAAGGAAGGAACACTACAGCCGGCCTACTGGCCCATGCGAGGCAGGTCCAGTTCTCCCACTGGCTTAACCCAATGTCTTAACCTAGTCAGGCCAGGTCACAGGACACAACCATTAGCATATTTCTGTGAAAAATATTTCAGGCTAAGATATGAAGCTGTGGATTAATGTAAGACAGGCATTGCAAAAGAAAATATATGACTGCTAATTAAATTATAAGTTTATTAATTATCATAACTTTCTAATCAGCCCAAAACAATTTCGTCCTACTCATTCTGTGATATATTCATTAATAATTTTCATATATTTATAAATTAAGAATAATAAAAGACTAATAATTAAAAAATGAATGGTTGTAAATTGTATGGTGATACCAACAAATTGAGGAAAAGGGCATTTGTGTACAGTTTGGGACATTTATTACAGGAGATACTTCGTCACGAGTGACTTCGTTAGTCCTAATGCAGAGTAAATAAATACAGGTTAATATGTAATAGAGAGTGCAGGTGACCTGAAGCAAAACTGAGGTGAGACGGGAGGTAAGTCACTTTGTAAAAAATATGTTGGAGAAATATATAAATAAATATATTTGTTCTACAACATGACTGACCTCCCGCCTCACCTCACTTCTGCTTCAGGTCACCTACACTACTACACATTAATGTATATTAATTTACTCTATATTAGGACTGATGAAGCCACTCATGGCGAAATGTATCCTTTAATAAATTTCCTAAACTGTACACAAGTGTCCTTTTAAACAATAAATGTTATATGCTATTATAATGTAAAATTAGATCTGTTACGACAAAGTATTTATAGCAAAACATATATAGAATACAATTTCAGTACTCATGCTAATTACCAGAGGAGTTAGTCGCCATGTATGATCAATATTCGTACAAGGGCAAGGTTGGTGGGTGTGGTTCTTGGCGTCTTTCAGTGCATGGAGACAGCATATTATTAGAATTGTGCATGCGCTTGTACATAATGGTGCATGCGAGTATGTGAGAATGTAAAAATCTATGATTAGTTATGTTACTCTTTTTTACCCCCCCCAAAAAAAAATATTCAACTACATTTCTTAGAAATCACAGTTTATCACAATTTTATTCCAAGTTTTGGGTTTGTCACTGTCCCATTGACCTTGGAAAGGATTGGTCACCGTTATAATGGTAGTTCATAGCTTGACTGCTCTACTTATCAGGGTCGCATGACTAGTATCAGCTCTTGGATGCTAGAATATAAAAGGACATACAGTCTTCTCACACTCACACACCTTCCTGAGCAGGAAAGCAACATAGAGTAGATATGAAGATTCTTGTGAGTAGCAAAGTTATAGTTTTTTCTAGAACAGTATTATTCATTGTACAAATTCACTAGAATAAAAAAAATGTCAGAGCACAAACTTTTACATTCACTCTAGTAAAAATTTTTGCTAGAGTGAATGTATTATTTTTTCATTTAAATTATAATTTTTATAATAATCCTATCTCACGTAAAATAACAAAAGAACTCAGAGATGTAATCACAACGCAATTATTAAACACAGAGATTTGCAAAAAATTATTTCCCAAATACTAGAAAAGTTGCAATACAACTGTTGTGCAGATATAAAATAAAGCGGAAAAAAATAAATTTTAGGAAAATGATAAATGAGCAAAAAATTTTAAAATAATATTAAATTGCTTGTGAAATCACTGAATGTTTAAGAGGAAGTTATGACCTGACTCACTTGTGGTAAACAATGTTTTATTACAAGGCTGTTCAATACTCAGGTAAATTCTCGTGTACGTGAAGGTCTCGAACTTAATACTTGAGGCTTCAGACACTCGCATGTTACAGCTAAAACAATTGATTATGTAAAATATCTGGAAACAAGTGAAGATCATTAAGTTTCATCTCATCTGTGAAATGGTTTTCGTCACCCACAATCCCTTGACATTCGAATAAATATAAGTGAAACCTTTGCTTTGATTTTGTCATGGTAGTATCAGGAAGGCTGTTAACAATAACGCGAGCATCCTCAGGAGTATTTCATTATATTTTTATTATATCTAAAGAGAATGACTCTTTCATCTTTGTAAAACAGAAAACAAAATATAAGAAATTTCTTAAAATTTCAGTGAAATTTAAATGATCCGATATTTCGTGATACAGACATTTCGTGTTCATTGTATTTATAAAATATATTAAACGCTCCAAAATGCCGGTACGCACTTCAAAACATAAGAGATTGCAATTATTTTTCGGCTCATTAAACATTGTAATATATTTAGAAAACGTAATTTGTTGACTTTATACTAAATGTTATTATATATCTATATTGTAATTACGTTCTCTGCACCTGATACTTTCAATATAAAATTGAAACATTTAGTTAACAATTGATAAAAATTGCTCCCGAAGTTGATGTGAAGGAATGTTACTCAAGTAAAATCGTTAAATATTTCTCCTATAAATGTTGACTAATAACTAAACTTCTCTGTACCCATAGATCATTCTCCTGGTGGTGGGTCTTGCAGCAGCCAGGCCTGGACCTGTCGCAAATCCTGATCCTGAAGCTGGCATCGGTGGATTCGGTCTCGGTGGTCTTGGCTATGGCCACGGAGGAAGAGGCTACGGTTTGGGAGGCCTTGGTTACGGCCTCGGAAACCTGGGCTACGGTGGTGGAGGGTATGGGCTAGGCTATGGCCCACGTTTCTTTGGTGGCTTCTACGGATAAGACATATCCTTCAAAGTAAAAAATGTCTCCACGTCTGGTAAAATTAAATGATTCTCTAGACTTTGTACAATACATGTTCTCTTCGGCCAATAAATTTCTATAGCATTAAATTATTTTAAAATATCCTGCAAGAGAAGATCATAGAAACAGAAGTGCCTGAGCATTCTTACTAAGGCAATCAGTCAAGTACTAATTTTTTGCCTTGGACGCGGCTTATTATGAGCCTCATGTCTATCCTGTAGACTGTAGCAAAAATGCAAATAAATACACAAGGCCCTAAGAGCTAGACTTGCAGGATGACTGAGCAATGGGGTTTCAAATCTATCGATTACAGTAGGGTCATTAATAAGGCTGCACAGTAACCTCTTCACCAACAGACATCATATAAACGCTGATAGAAATACACCCCCTATGATATACATTCAGTGGGCTTACATGAGTACTTTAGGCCTTTATTATTTATAAATAAGTCATTTTTTATGTTACAAGCAAAATTAGGATATGTTCTGAAAATCTATTATTTTCTCATATAATACCATGAAATAATATATTGGATAATATATGTGAATTTTGATTATTTAAGGAACAAACAAGCGCGAAGGGCTCAAGAAAGTGTTTCTAAGAGTCTCTGTAAAATTTCCATTTAGTTTAATATTTTCGAAGAGGTACCTTAAGAGAATGCGTGATTTTTGTTGTCTTTTCTTCTTTTCGTTTCTATTTTTCTCATACCTCTAAAACACTTCAACCAACCCCATTCAATTTTTCAACACTTGTGTACGGTAAAGAAGACCAAATTCTCTGAACACTTGGCATGTTCAGATGTCCTATGGCCAAAGTTGCTGAGCCCATTCCCAGCATCCTGAAAGAGTATAGTTTCAAAAGTTCAAAGAAAGGTGGCAAAAAATTCGACATCCGCTGAGAGTGAAATTGAGCAGTATAGTTACAACTCTGACAACTTTACGTGAAAAATTGAGCGAAACTTACATTTCCCGTAAATCACATCAAATTATTTCCAGTTTACCTCTTCTGAAGGGCTTCCTTATTTAAAAGCTGATGCATCTTACTACCAGGATAATAAGTATCGTTGGAGTGCTGGAAAATTTGTTCATTTATTAATATAGAACAAAAAAAAACTGCAATAGTTGGAAACAGTGCCATAACCGAAAAATGACTCATGTGATCGGTTTCAAATTTTTAACATTGTATCGAGATCCCAAGATGTTGCTGTGTTTGGAGATGTGATGTAAATGGTTTAGCAGGGGGGTAATAGGTACTGCATCCGTCGTACGTACTGCAGCTCAGAGAAGCTGGGTGAGAATTATATGATGTAATTTTTGAAAAACACTTCGCAATATGTACTTGAAATGTATCCCTTAACCTTCATGTATTGTGTAAGCCTTCTGAGGGGTGTTAATGTTGGAGTTTTATAACTGTAGTGTAAAGCACCCCTCTGGCAAGACAGTGATGGAGTGAATGATGGTGAAAGATTTTCTTTTTCGGGCAACCCTGCCTTGGTGAGAATCGGCCGATGTGTTAATATATATATATATATATATATATATATATATATATATATATATATATATATATATATATATATATATATATAAACACTGATCTCTGGCTGAAGGAGACTCGAACCTACGGACCTTAGGACAAGGTACGCAATGCTTTACCAATCTACCCACACTGGACAATACCTTGGCGTGTAGCTTGCGCTACACGTTTGATCCAAGGCAGCCAGCTTTCAGAGAGAAGCCTTGCAGCTTTTCATCTCATCCCCAGCATGCATCAGCCTTACTAGAGATTTTAACAATGCAAAGATTTCGCAAGAGCAGCCGAAATATACACAAACACTGATCTCTGGCTGAAGGAGACTCGAACCTACGAACCTTAGGACAAGGTACGCAGTGCTTTACCAATCTACCCACACTGGATAATACCTTGGCGTGTAGCTTGCGCTACACGTTTGATCCAAGGCAGCCAGCTTTCAGGGAGAAGGCTTGCAACTTTTCATCTCATCCCCTGCATGCATCAGCCTTACTAGAGATTTTAACAATGCAAGGAATTCGCGAGAGCAGGCGAAATGTACACAAACGCAGATCACTGGCTGAAGGAGACTCGAACCTACGAACCTTAGGACAAGGTACACAGTGCTTTACCAATATACCCCCGATGCATGCAGAGGATGAGATGAAAAGCTGCAAGCCTTCTTCCTGAAAGCTGGCTGCCTTGGATCAAACGTGCAGTGCAAGCTACACGCCAAGGTATTGTCCAGTGTGGGTAGATTGGTAAAGCAGTGAGTACCTTGTCCTAAGGTTCGTAGGTTCGAGTCTCCTTCAGCCAGAGATCAGTGTTTGTGTATATTTCGCCTGCTCTCGCGAATTCCTTGCATATATATATATTTATATATATAAAATATATATATATATATATATATATATATATATATATATATATATAATGCCAAATAGGTAAAGCTTGCGGTTTTGGCTTAACTAGCAACGCTCTTCTTGCTGAATAAGGCAAGCAAAAATTTGTGTATGCAGATAATTTCGCAAAAATCATTCTGAACCCAACGATAAGAATATATTTCATTGTGTTTGTTTATTATTAAGTTATTGTAAACTTTTCTAAAATATATTTAGTTGGATTAGGCTAAATTAAATTGCGCTTGTTATAATAAGGTTAGGTAAGTTTTCTAACGTTCTTATAGTACAAAATTATTAATTTTTACATTGATATAAATGAAGAAAATATATCTTTAAGTGTGTAAGAGGAAATTTTAGAAAGGACTTAATTTTAAATAAGTGTTTGCTAATTTACCAATTTTACCTCTTCAGCATGACTATATATATATATATATATATATATATATATATATATATATATATATATATATATATATATATATATATATATATATATATATATATATATAAAATATATATATGTCGTGCCGAATAGGCAGAACTTGCGATCTTGGCTTAAATAGCAACGCTCATCTTGCCATATAGAACAAGTGAAAATTTGTGTATGCAATAATTTCGCCAAAATCATTCTGAACCTAACGAAAAAAATATATTTCATTTGGTTTGTTTAGTATTAAATTATTGTAAAGAAATCTAAAATATATTTAGTTGCGCTAGGCTAAAATAAATTGTACTTCTTATAATAAGGTTAGGTAAGTTTTCTAAGATTCTTTTGGTGCAAAATTAAAAAAAATTACATTAACATTAATGAAAAAAATATATCTTTAAACGTATAAGAGAAAATTTCAGAAAGGAATTAATTTTAAACGAGTTCTTACTAATTGACCAGTTTTACATATTCGGCACGACATATATATGTATATATATATATATATATATATATATATATATATAAATATATATATATATATATATATAATATATATATATATATATATATATATATATATATATATATATATATATATGCCAAATAGGTAAAGCTTGCGGTTTTGGCTTAACTAGCAACGCTCTTCTTGCCGAATAAGGCAAGCAAAAGTTTGTGTATGCAATAATTTCGCAAAAATCATTCTGAACCCAACGATAAGAATATATTTCATTGTGTTTGTTTATTAAGTTATTGTAAACTTTTCTAAAATATATTTAGTTGGATTAGGCTAAATTAAATTGCGCTTGTTATAATAAGGTTAGGTAAGTTTTCTAACGTTCTTATAGTACAAAATTATTAATTTTTACATTGATATAAATGAAGAAAATATATCTTTAAGTGTGTAAGAGGAAATTTTAGAAAGGACTTAATCTTAAATAAGTGTTTGCTAATTTACAAATTTTTACCTCTTCAGCATGACATTATATATATATATATATATATATATATATATAAATATATATATATATATATATATATATATATATATATATATATATATATATATATTATATATATATATTATAATATATATATATTTATAGTATATAATATATATATATATATATATATATATTATATATATATATATATATTTTATATATATATATATATATATATATATATATATATATATATGTATATATAATATATATATTATATATATATAACATATATATATAAATATATATATATATATATATATATATACATATATATATATATTTATATATATATATATAGTATATATATATTATATATATATATATATATATATATATATATATATATATATATATATATATATATATATATATATACATATATATATATATATATAAATATATATACATATATATATATAATATATATATATATATATATAATATATATATAATATAAATATATAATATATATATATATATAATATATATAATTATATATATATATATATTATTTTTTTAACACACCAGTCGTCTCACACGTAGGGTGACCCAAAAAAGCATTTGTACTGAAATCAAGATGACCCGCCCTTCCAGCTGGTTGAGGTTGTAGGATCTTCTTCAAAACTTGTCTTACCTATAGACAAGATCAATTTCCACTAGTAATTTTGAACGCTGGTGACTCCGCCTGCCACTGCTCTGCCTAATCTGTCAGCAGTATATAAGCTCCATCTCTGCGAATATGCCGCATTTTTGTCAAGATTGACGGACTGAACACATGGACTCCAGACTGTGGGACTGATTAGGGACTAGCTCCCTTAAGGTTTACTATACAAATAGTAGGAGTCTAAGAAATAAGATAGATGAGCTAAGATTACTTGCAAGTATAGGTAATATAGATATTATTTGTATAAATGAGACCTGGTTCAACCTGAAAGATAGAGAAATGCCTTCTGAATGCAATATACAGGGTTATAAACTATTCCACACTGATAGGGTCAACAGGAAGGGTGGTGGAGTGGCGATGTCTGTCAGAGAAAATTTACATTGTTGTCTTAGACATGATATAAGATTAGAAACATCGAACACAGAATCTGTTTGGCTACAGTTTCTCGAGGGACGTGACAAATTAATTTTGGGTGTGATTTATAGGCCCCCAAAGCTTGATAGGAAGTGCAGTAAACTGTTATGGGACGAAATTCATAAGGCATCTAGATATGAAAATGTTGTGATAATGGGAGATTTTA